AAACTATCTGTGTCTATATAAATAGAATGTGTCTCATGTGTGAAACTATCTGTGTCTATATAAATAGAATGTGTCTCATGTGTGAAACTATCTGTGTCTATATAAATAGAATGTGTCTCATGTGTGAAACTATCTGTGTCTATATAAATAGAATGTCTCATGTGTGAAACCATGTGTCTATATAAATAGAATGTGTCTCATGTGTGAAACTATCTGTGTCTATATAAATAGAATGTCTCATGCGTGAAACTATCTGTGTCTATATAAATAGAATGTCTCATGTGTGAAACTATCTGTGTCTATATAAATAGAATGTCTCATGTGTGAAACTATCTGTGTCTATATAAATAGAATGTGTCTCATGTGTGAAACTATCTGTGTCTATATAAATAGAATGTCTCATGTGTGAAACTATCTGTGTCTATATAAATAGAATGTCTCATGTGTGAAACTATCTGTGTCTATATAAATAGAATGTGTCTCATGTGTGAAACTATCTGTGTCTATATAAATAGAATGTGTCTCATGTGTGAAACTATCTGTGTCTATATAAATAGAATGTCTCATGTGTGAAACTATCTGAAAACCTATAGGCTGAAAGATTGTTGGTTGCAGAGTAAAACAATGGAGTGGTCATCTGAACGACGAGGAGGAATACTTCAGTACAAAGTCTGTGTGACCATACAGACAGATCACTTCATATCAAATTTAAACCTTTCATCAAAATTTGTAGTCAAAGAATTCTTACCAAAATTATCATTAAACAAGGGGCCTTAACAGTCACCTGAGGAATATATGTCAATAATCTGGGGATTTTAAAATGTTGCAAAAATGTAACAACACTTGTGCAGGACCATGTGTAAAACATCTGTACCAAGTTTGAACATGACCCACCAAATGGTTCTTCAGAGGAAGTCCATAATGTCTTAGCCAAACAGAGGCCAGGGTGGCCATCTTGGATTTTGAATCGCCCCAAAAAGTTAAAACACTTGCCAGGACCTTGTGTAGAACATTCATATCAAGTTTCCCCTTTTTCCCCCTCCTGGGGCCCCTATTGGGGCCACACCCTTTTTCTTCGCAAACTTGAAGCGGCTTCCCATGGGGATGCTTTGTGCCAAAATCCATCTACTGGTTCTTGAGAAGAAGTCATTTAATGAAGTTTTTTACATATGGCCCCTTTTACACCCCTTACAGGCCCCAAAGGGGACATAGTCACTTTTTTCAACATAATTTCATACGTCCTTCACTAAGAGATGCTTTCTACCAAATTTGGCTGAAATCGGTCAAAGTTGAATTTTTTACCCTTTTGAGCGCCCCCTCGTGGGGCCATTTTTGACCCAATTTTTTTTTCATTCGCAAACTTTGTAGACCTGGCCATAAGGACCCTGTATATCAAATATGAATTTAATCTGACCGTTGGTTCATGAGAAGATTTTTAAAGATTTACCTAATTTTACCCCCTTTTCACCTCTCATGGGGCCCATATTGGGGCCACACCCTTTTTCTTCGCAAACTTGAAGCGGCTTTCCATGGGGATGCTTTGTGCCAAGTTTGGTCAATATCCATCCAATGGTTCTTGAGAAGAAGTCATTTAAAGGTTTTTACATATGGCCCCTTTTACACCCCTTATGGGCCCCAAAGAGGACATAATCACTTTTTTCAACATAATTTCATAGGTCCTTCACTAAGGGATGCTTTCTACAAAATTTGGTTGAAATCGGTCAAAGTTGAATTTTTAACCCTTTTTAGCGCCCCATAGTGGGGCCGTTTTTGACCCAATTTTTTTTCATTCGCAAACTTTGTAGACCTGGACATAAGGACCCTAAATATCAAACATGATGAGAAGAAGTCGAATATGTGAAAAGTTAACAACGCACGACGACAGACAAATCATGATGGCAATAGGTCACCATGAGCCTTCGGCTCAGGCGACCTAAAAATAGTTGCGAATGGCAAGTTCAGCTATATGATATAATAATGTGAACAGAAGCAAGCTTCATACATGAAGACAGTTCAAGAATGACGTCATTGTCGAAGGTTTCGTCTGAATGGACATACCTAGACATCACAGTAGTAACCTTGCCCCTTTTTCGTGCAGACTCACTTCCCCTGGCCATTGAGACAGGACGATACACCAGACCGCCCTTTCAACTAATGAACAGACTTTGTGCTAGATGTGACCAGCATAAAGTCGAGGGTGAAAACATTTTCTAATAGAATGCAATTTATATGATGACTTTAGAAACTATCTGTTCAGAGAATGTTATGTTATTGATAGCTTCTATAACATGGACGAAACTTAATTATTGATCAGTAACTGTTAGTTACATTAGTATATATGACACTTCTGCTTCTGACATTCTAAGTGATATACATTGATATGATGAAATGGTAGAATTAATCAATAATTGTAATTTAAAGAAGTACATATATATGTGTGATGGAAACCCCTATCACTGACATTCAAAGTATTATACTCTGATATATTCTTAGTCCCAGGAGTCTGAATGGTACAATGACTTAGTAATTGTAATTTACACTATCATATGTGATGTTGCACATTTCATTCCTATTTACAGAAATAAACCCTGAAATGAATTTCTTTGTCCCAGTGAGAAAAGATAGTCTAACTTCTTTGTCCCAGTGTACTTATGGAAATATTAACCAGTAATTGTACATTACAGTATATATCAAGGAAGAAATTTCACGTTTGATATCAACATCAATATGTATATAATATTCTTACTTCATAGCAACCAGTGTAAAAATGGGTTTATTTTGAGTAGAGATTATAAGTTACAATTATATGTGATGAACATTTCGACTTTTGTTATTCACAGTAATAAACCCAGATATGATTGTTTAAACCTCTTTGCCCTAGTATACGAATGGAAATATTATTCAGTAATTGTAAATTACCATGTATAGATATGTGAAGGATGTTATTCACGTTTGATATCTACAACAATATGTGTTGTCTTAAGTTCCAGTGTAAAAATGGATTCATTTTAAAATATATTCCTTGACTATCATAAATTTTAAGAATTTTAGTGTCTCATAAGTCAAACAATTATGGCTGGGTATTGATCACTTTTACCTGTATATTTTAAAATTGTGACTGGCATTTTGCTGTCAATCAATATGTGACATTTTTATAAACTATGATTATTATTATTATTTTCCTTTTTGGCAAATATAGTAAGTTTACTTACACATACCTAACAGAATCTCTAAAATAGGGATATTACCCCAATTTTTTCCATACAATTGGGAGACAGTGACAGGGAGTGAAAATCGGTAAACTTCCATGTGAATCAGGAAAGTTGGCTGGTATGCAATTGTATGTGTAAGATCGATTATCATGAATTACGATCCTTTGATGTGGATTTTCCATTGAAGTTGTTTTTCTCCAACAGTATTATGGATTTAAGTTTATTTGAAATGATATCTTTTGTTTAGTTCAAAAGAAAAATTTCACTGACAAATAGAGATATTGTGAAAAAAATAGGACATATGTGTGGTTGCCACACAATGAATTAATTAGCTGTTTTATCTTTGTTTCAACTGTGTAGTAACTGACAATGGAATGACATACAGTCTCAACTGTGTAGTAACAGATACTGGACTGACATACAGTCTCAACTGTGTAGTAACAGACCCTGGACTGACATACAGTCTCAACTGTGTAGTAACAGACATTGGACTGACACAGTTTCAGCTGTGTAGTAACAGATGTGGAACTGACACAGTTTCAACTATGTAGTAACAGACACTTGACTGACACAGTTTCAACTTTGTAGTAACAGACATTGGACTGCCACAGTTTTAGCTGTGTAGTAACAGACATTGGACTGATGCACAGTTTCAACTGTGAAGAGAAAGACATTGGACAGACACACAGATTCAACTTTGTAGTAACAGACATTGGACTGATGCCTAGTTTCAACTGTGTAGTAACAGACATTGGACTGACACAGTTTCAACTTTGTAGTAACAGACACTGGAAACAAGCAGAGTTTCAACTGTGTAGTAACAGACATTAGACTGACACAGTTTCAACTGTGTGGTAACAGACTCTGGACAGACACAGTTTCAGCTGTGTAGTTACAGACACTGGACTAATGCAGTTTCAACAGTGTAGTAACACACACTGGAAACAAGCACAGTTTCAACTTTGTAGTAACAGACATTGGACTGACACAGTTTCAACTGTTTAGCAACAGATGTTGAACTGACACAGTTTCAACTGTGTAGTGACAGACATTGGACTGACACAGTTTCAACTGTGTAGTAACAGATGTTTGACTGACACAGTTTCAACCATGTAGTGAAAGACATTGGACTGACACAGTTTCAACTGTACAGTAAGAGACATTGGACTGACAGTTTCAACTGTGTAGTAACAGACAATGGACTGATGCACAGTTTCAACTGCGTAATAACAGACATTGGACTGACACAGTTTCAACTGTGTAGTAACAGACTCTGGACTGATGCACAGTTTCAACTGTGTAGTAACAGACAGTGTACTGAGAGAGTTTCAACTGTGTAGTAACAGATGTTGGACTGACACAGTTTCAACTGTGTAGTAACAGACACTGGATTAATGCAGTTTCAACTGTGTAGTAACAGACACTGGAAACATGCACAGTTTCAACTAGGTAGTAACAGACATTGGACTGACACCGTTTCAACTGTGTAGTAACAGATGTTGGACTGACACAGTTTCAACTGTGTAGTAACAGACATTGAACTGACACACATCTGCATCAAAATTGTATTTGCAGTTGGACAGAAACATGGACGGACAGACATGAAGCTTTTCCCACAAATGTATTTACTGATTCTTAACAGACACAACTACATATACACCCACAATTGAAGATATAGATACCGGATAGACACACAACTATCACCACCAGTGTCAGTATTCACCACAAAGCCAATGACACTATGATTTGTGTACAGGTATATTTAACAAATAGGTTTATAATTTCTACCTGTAGGGCTCCGTCCTGCCTCATTCCCTCCAGTAATGATACAGGTAAATAATGCTGTTCAGCCTCCCTTTCACTTCTGATCTCAGAAGCTCAACCACCTCGTGTGGAAATATAAACAAGCAAATATCACTCAAGGTTGGTTATGACTTCACCAATATTCAAATGTCCTCAAATATCAGATGATAAATGAATGATTTAGTGGTGGCTAGTTGTTTCCACTGAGATAATAGTAAGTCTAAAGGTGTTTACACCTGTCAGTCTTGTACTGGTAGGTCACACTCCAGTGCTTTACATTAACATAGCACAATGGTTCCACAGTAATAACCGCACACACAACATCCAGTCAATGGACTATCAACAATTACGTTTGTGTCAAACAAACAGCCAGCAAACCCGATAATGAGACTACCAGCATCTGCAGCCAGAGGACTGATCCCATTGCCTTGTTAGTGCCCCTACCAGTCAGACATGCTCACAACCCACAAACATTTGTCAGCGTTTTTCTGACCAATAATCTCATGTCAAATAGCTTTACTGAGTTTCATTACTGACACTAGTACTTTTATTTGCTCATAAATGCATTTTAATAACAAATCTACATCATTAACCAAGACTGTTTTTACAACAAATTTCACAAAATACAGATAAAAATGCAACTCATTTGAGATGCAGGGCTCTGGGAAATCAATAGCATAATGCCTCGATCTGATGAAGTATATCTAGTGTATGTGGACTGCTACACAATTCTGATTAATAAATTCCTACACACATGTATGTATTACACACCCACAGATGTCAAATAACACATTAACATGAGACAGTGATCAAGTATAATAAGAAGCTGCAGACACACAAACAAGAAACCTGTGCCACACACCCACATTTGTAAACACAATAGAACAAGTCATTTTAACATGCCACACAATAGATATCCCTAACATTTCTGAGGCTTCCAAAAGGTTTACCAGGATGTAGGAGTATTGGGGTGAGGTAATAGGTACTGGGGTGAGGTAGAAAATACTGGGGTAAGGATGGTATTGGAGGTACCTGGGTGGGAGGTGGGTGTAGGAGTACTGGGGTAAGGATGGTATAGGAGGTTCCTGGGTTGGAGGTAGGTGTAGGAGTACTGGGGTAAGGATGGTATAGGAGGTATCTGGGTGAGAGGTGAGGTAGAAGATACTGGTGTAAGGATGGTATAGGAGGTTCCTGGGTTGGAGGTAGGTGTAGGAGTACTGGGGTAAGGATGGTATAGGAGGTATCTGGGTGAGAGGTGAGATAGAACATACTGGTGTAAGGATGGTATAGGAGGTATCTGGGTGAGAGGTGAGGTAGAAGATACTGGGGTAAGGATGGTATAGGAGGTACCTGGGTGAGAGGTGGGTGTAGGAGTACTGGGGTTAGGATGGTATAGGAAGTACCTGGGTGGGAGGTAGGTGTAGAGTACTGGGGTTAGGATGGTATAGGAGGTACCTGGGTGAGAGGTGAGGTAGAAGATACTGGTGTAAGGATGGTATAGGAGGTATCTGGGTGAGAGGTGAGGTAGAAGATACTGGTGTAAGGATGGTATAGGAGGTTCCTGGGTTGGAGGTAGGTGTAGGAGTACTGGGGTAAGGATGGTATAGGAGGTATCTGGGTGAGAGGTGAGATAGAAGATACTGGTGTAAGGATGGTATAGGAGGTACCTGGGTGAGAGGTGAGGTAGAAGATACTGGTGTAAGGATGGTATAGGAGGTATCTGGGTGAGAGGTGAGGTAGAAGATACTGGGGTAAGGATGGTATAGGAGGTATCTGGGTGAGAGGTGAGGTAGAAGATACTGGTGTAAGGATGGTATAGGAGGTATCTGGGTGAGAGGTGAGGTAGAAGATACTGGGGTAAGGATGGTATAGGAGGTACCTGGGTGAGAGGTGAGGTAGAAGATACTGGTGTAAGGATGGTATAGGAGATATCTGGGTGAGAGGTGAGGTAGAAGATACTGGGGTAAGGATGGTATAGGAGGTACCTGGGTGAGAGGTGAGATAGAAGATACTGGTGTAAGGATGGTATAGGAGGTACCTGGGTGAGAGGTGAGGTAGAAGATACTGGGGTAAGGATGGTATAGGAGGTACCTGGGTGAGAGGTGAGATAGAAGATACTGGGGTAAGGATGGTATAGGAGGTACCTGGGTGAGAGGTGAGATAGAAGATACTGGGGTAAGGATGGTATAGGAGGTATCTGGGTGAGAGGTGGGTGTAGCTGTACTGGTGTAAGGTAGAAGGTACTGGGGTAATGATGGTATAGGAAGTACCTGGGTGAGAGGTGGGTGTAGTTGTACTGGTGTGAGGTAGCAGGTACTGGGGTAAGGATGGTATAGGAGGTACCTGGGTGAGAGGTGGGTGTAGGAGTACTGGGGTGAGATAGATGGTACTGGGGTTAGGATGGTATTGGAGGTACCTGGGGTAGAGGAGGGTGTAGGTGTACTGGTGTGAGATAGAGGGTACTGGAGTAAGGATGGTATTGGAGGTACCTGGTGTAGAGGTGGATGTAGGTGTAATGGGGTGAGGTAGAAGGTACTGGGGTAAGGATGGTATAGGAGGTACCTGGGTGAGAGGTGGGTGTAGGTGTACTGGTGTGAGGTAGCAGGTACTGGGGTAAGGATGGTATAGGAAGTACCTGGGTGAGAGGTGGGTGTAGGTGTACTGGAGTGAGATAGACGGTACTGGGGTAAGGATGATATAGGAGGTACTTTGGTGAGAGATGGATGTAAGTGTACTGGGTGAGGTAGAAGGTACTGGGGTTAGGATGGTATAGGAAGTACCTGGGTGGGAGGTGGGTGTAGGAGTACTGGGTTAAGGATGGTATAGGAGTTACCTGGGTGAGAGGTGGGTGTAGGTGTACTGGAGTGAGATAGATGGTACTGGGGTAAGGATGATATAGGAGGTACTTTGGTGAGAGATGGATGTAAGTGTACTGGGTGAGGTAGAAGGTACTGGGGTTAGGATGGTATAGGAAGTACCTGGGTGGGAGGTGGGTGTAGGAGTACTGGGTTAAGGATGGTATAGGAGTTACCTGGGTGAGAGGTGAGGTAGAAGATACTGGGGTAAGGATGGTATAGGAGGTACCTGGGTAAGAGGTGGGTGTAGGTGTACTGGGGTTAGGTAGAAGGCACTGGGGTAGGGGTGGTATAGGAGGTACCTGGGTGAGAGGTGGGTGTAGGTTTACTGGGGTGAGGTAGAAGATACTGGGGTTAGGATGGTATGGGAGGTACTTGGGTAGAGGTGGGTGTAGGTGTACTGGTGTGAGATAGAAGGTACTGGAGTAAGGATGGCATAGGAGGTACCTGGGTGAGAGGTGGGTGTAGGTGTACTGGGGTGAGATAGAAGGTACTGGGGTCAGGGTGGTATAGGAGGTACCTAGGTGAGAGTTGGGTGTAGCTGTACTGGGGTCAGGTAGTGGGTACTGGGGTAAGGATGGTATAGGAAGTACATGGGTCAGAGGTGGGTGTAGGTGTACTGGTGTGAGGTAGAAGGTACTGGGGTAAGGGTGGTATGGGAGGTACCTCGGTGTGAGGTGGGCGTAAGTGTACTGGGGTGAGGTAGAAGGTACTTGGGTTAGGATGGTATAGGAGGTACCTGGGTAAGAGGTGGGTGTAGCTGTACTGGGGTTAGGTTCACTCAGGAAGAAGGGATTTAAACAACCAGGGTCATATAAGGAGGGTTGAACAACTGGACACAAACAAACAGGGTCATATGGGAAAAGGTGTACAAGGGGACACAAACAGTCAGGGTCATATGGGAACAGGTGTACAAGGGAACATAAACAGTCAGGGTCATATGGGAACAGGTGTACAAGGGGACACAAACAGTCAGGGTCATATGGGAACAGGTGTACAAGGGGACACCAACAGCCAGGTCCTATGAGAACAGGTGTACAAGGGAACACTAACAGACAGGACTATATGAAGACTGGTGTTCAATGGTTACACCAACAGAGAAAACAAAGATATAAAGAAGGGAAAATGTGCTCAATAAGGTATACTGGGTTTTTCTGTATAAGGGCACTTATTTTATTCACCTGCTACTATTGTTTGGTTGGATAAATTAAGAATTCTTCTTAGGCTCTCCAATGTCTTCTAAATAAGACAACATAATCCATCACAACCTAGCCAGTGATAAACCAACAATTCACTTTCATGGGTCCTTTTCAACTTTACTGTTAAAAACAATGTTTCCTTGAATCTAAAATTTCCAGAAATTATTTGAGTCCCATCAATAATTCTATGAGTACATGCAAGACTCAGAACTTGCATGAAGATTTATCATTGCCTATCAAGAGGTCCCAGCAATATGTTTTTATTATTTACAACAAGACTTTTCTCTCACTCTTGCATAAGCAGGTTTCTGAAGAAAGGCAGATTATGTACCATTTAAGGAAATAGTATTAAGTGACAAAGGTTTGTCTTGAAATTGCAAGTTGAGAAGAGACAGACCCTGCACTGGTAGCAGAAAACCAATCTTATGTGTTCATGTCAGCATTTCCTTCTCTTCTGGGTACAAAAGCTAAGTATCTGACAGCTCTCTTTCATCACACAATATTCACATGCCATGGCAGTCAACTTTGGTTTTTCACAAGAATACCATGGAATAATTTGAACAATTCTTTAAAAAATGTTATTTAATTTAATTAATTACAGTAAGCAGATGTTACTTCAGCAATCAGCATTAAATTGATAGTGTGTAATTTTTGTGTCTTGATAAAGGGGCAGATTGCCTCGAAAATTTGACAATTTCACAATTCAATTGTCTGTACTGTTGTTATTACTTATTGACCATATTTAATTTGTGATGATAAAGTTATGTCATTTTGAGTTAAGTCACTTGTACCTCTGAAAAGTCAAAGTGATACGGTAGGACTTTTTCAACAGCGATGAGGCTGTAGTTATGTAAATTACAAATACAATATGGTAAGCTCATATTGTAAATAACGGTAATAGACAAGCTTAGTGATGTGTGAATATTTGTTGCTGTTGTGTTCTGACATGAGCTTTGCTAGCTATAATGCGACTGAATTTTTTTAGAATAAGTTGAATGCATATGAAAACATATGTAATACTCAGTATTTCTTGCAACACCTGAAACATGGGGACTTCAGCGAAAGCTTGTGACAACGATAACTGGTTAACAAACCTAACACAGAAATTAATTAAACTGTGACAATCCCCTTAAGACAGAGAAATGATAATCGGTAGAAAGGATAACATGTTGATGCCTGCGCTGTAACAGATATTCTAAATCCGCAATATGTCTGATATTTTATACAGCAACAGTCGGCAGATTGTACGGGGGTTGAAAGTTTTTTTCATTTTATATTGATCGCTTGTCGGTGATATTATTGCTGTCCG